ATGTCGTTATACATACCAATCCAATAGTAATTAGTCCTAATTTTCTCATAGGTTTTTGTCACCCCGAAGTGTCCTCCACATGGTTCGTCGTGGGCCCAGGTTATTAACTCATTTCTTAAAGATTGTGGTACAACTAGCTGAGTAAGGTTTCTTGAGGTTTTTGATTCATGATGGAATAGTAAACCATTCTCATCTAAGTAGTGGTTACCCTCTAATGGCTTTATTGGCTTTATTGGCTAGATATGATACTAAATCAGCATAATAGGGATCGTTACGTTGTTCTTTTACAACCTGGTCAATTGGTCTACCCGGTACTGTCAATGTTGCAACTGTGTTGTAACTCTGTCGGGATAGTCCGTCAGCATTACCATTCATTTTTCCTGGTCTATATTCAATTTCAAAGTCATAACTTTGTAACATTAAGCTCCACCTTGCAAGGCGACCGGTTGGGTCTTTGATCGACATTAGCCACTTTAATGAATTATGGTCGGTTACAATTTTAAACCTTTGTCCATATATGTACGGCCTACATTTCTGTATTGCAACGACGACGGCCAGCGCTTCCTGTTCAGTTGTGGAATATTTAATTTCTGTGTTCGTAAAACTACGCCCACCATACAGAATAACTTTTTCGGAATCCCCTTGACATTGCGCTAGAACATACCCTAATGCCTCGCCACTTGCGTCTGAATATATAATAAAAGGTCTCTTGAAGTCGGGAAAAACCAAAATGGGTGTCGTTGTCAGGGCTTCCTTGAGCTGATCAAAACTCTTTTGCTGATCAATTTGCCATTTGAAACTAGTGTCCTTTTTTAACAAGTTATTCAACGGCAAAACAATACCTGAGAATCCTTTAATAAATCGATAATAGCTACATAGCCAATAAACGCTCGAACATCTTTTATATTTTTAGGTATTGGATAATCCTTTACTGCTTTGATATTTTCAGGGTCTGGTTTAATACCATCTGCATTAATATAATGTCCTAAGAATTTCACTTCAGTTGTGCAAAAAGTGCATTTCAGTAGGTTCAATTTTAAACCAGCTTGTCTAACGGCTTCAGTTATCATCAGTATATGTTCAAGGTGCTCTTTATACGTTTTTGAGTATATCAAGATATCGTCTAAATAAAGCATGCAATCTTTGTATAAATAGTCACGGAGTATGTAGCTCATCATTCGTTGAAATGTTGATGGTACATTCGACAGACCAAAGGGAAGAACTTTAAACTGATACAATCCTTTATGCGATATAAATGCGGTTTTCTCTTTAGATTCGTCGTCGAGCCGCACCTGATAATATCCGCTGAGAAGATCTAGTGAAAAAAAATATTTCGCCCGGTGTAGCATGTCGAGACTTTCATCTATTCGTGGGAGTGGATAGGTATCCTTTTTTGTTACGTTGTTTAGTTTCCTATAATCAATACACACCCTGAAATTCCCATCTTTCTTCGGTACCATTACTACCGGACTAGACCAAGGACTTGGTTCAATGATATCATTCACTTGGTTCAATGATATCATTTGCTAGCATCTCCTCAATGTGCTTGTCCAGTGATTTTCTCTGAGCTTCCGCAAGACCGTAAGGTCTTTGTCTAATCGGCTGAGCATTGCCCGTGTCAATACAGTGCTGTATTACATCAGTTTGCCCAATGTCGTGCAAACCTTGACCAAAAACATCTTGGTTATTCTTTAGTAAGGTCAACAGCTGGAGGCATTCTTCTTGATTCAACGCAGCAGCGTTAGTCTTTGATTCCAACAAGTCTATCAAGCCGTCCGGCAACCCAGCGTTATACCTATCCGAGATTTTGGTAGGTAATGAAATTACAACCCCAATTACTTTATTTTTACCAATAGTTACATAATCCGATGAGGGGTTAACGACATGCAGCTTGACTTGATTAGATACACCATGGGTTATGGTGGGAAAAACATGGACATTTTCATCCTTGAACAGAATTGTCTCTGGTATAAATAAACAGTCACCTTTAGTTTTTAAAGCGTGTGCTATGGTGAGGATGGTTTCACACTTGGGAACAGCCTTTATTTCCTTTGTTACGCATATCGGAGTTATAGAAAGGTCTACGGGATTCGAATTAGGTTTGGTGTTGTTGAATCTATCTTGATAGTCTATGCTGACTGCAGGATATGGGCGGCGGTCGCTGAGTAGCGGCTGGAACTCTTTAGCTTCATCCAGTGTACGTGGCGCATTGGACTTCAGCATCAGATTTTCTCTTTGTATTTTACACTCAAACTGGGCATTCGTGGGTTGGTTAATAAGTGGATTTTCTTTTAGCAACGGTTCAGCCGCAGGCAACTACTTGACATTGAACTTATCAATTTGCGGTATACGGCGGATTGGTGTATCATCCACAATTTGTTGTCGATGGGTTTGCTTATCATTTCTATATCAAACATTCCCTCGAAGGTAACTCGATGATTCCCGCAGTCCAATTTGACGTTAAACTGGCTCATGAAGTCGTAGCCTAAAATCACTGGATAAGTCAAATTTTTAGCGATAAGCATTTCATGCTCAAATATATATACTCCAATATTAATGGGGCACACGGTTTTTCCAAGGACATGAAGTGGCGCTCCATTTGCGGTTCTTAGGGTACCATAGTAGGGAAGTGGTCTGTTAACTTGATTCCTAAAATTTTCGAAGATGGTTTCTTCTAATACACTACACCTAGCACCTGTGTCCATAAGAATAAGCACTTTAGTCTTGTATACCTTCCCCCAGATTTCGGAACTAGGTTCCTCTTCCGGATCCGATTCGAGTGTATTAGTGTGTCGATGGGGAATTCGGCTATCCAAATGTGGACTGTTCCTTGGTTCATTGTGTCCGGATTTGGATAAGAATTATTACGGAATGAAACCGGGTTTTGTGTGACATGGTTCCAGTGGTGCGGTTGCGGCGATGCATGTTGATAGTGATTTCTCCCTGACAATGGGGCGATTTTTTTGGAACACGACCTTTGGGTGTGTCCTACTTTCAGGCATTGGTTGCATATAACCTGACCGTCACTGGTACGGAGATTACGTCCGTTTGGCCGGAATCTTTCATGTTGGCTAGGACAGTTGTTGTTCCGCCTTAATGAGGCAATTTCCATCTGTAATTCACCAATCTGCTGATTTAGGATAGGATGCTCTCGGTAGGTGGCAGCTGCAATATGTTGAGGGGAATTTAGTAGGGCATCTAACTTGGCTTCCAGACGAGTTATAGTCGAGTCTGATCCAATGGTGTCCTGTAATTTAGCGAAAGCTACTGCAGCCTGATAATCCACCAGTTGCTTGAGTTTTAGAGCATTCCTTAAATGTGGCTTCAGTCCCTTGATAAACAAATTCAGCTTAGTCTCATCATCAACCCCAAGCTGCTGACTTAAATTTATCTAGCGTGGTAATATAGGAAGCAAGATCAGCATCCTGTAATAGGCCGAATAACTCCATCTTACGGTTCCATGCGATGTTTGCATTATTATAATACTGACGAAAATGTTCTTGAATTTGATTAAAATCGTTGCTAATGTGCGCGAGAAAGGTTTCGTAATAAACCAACGCACTACCTTCCAAGTATAACGGGAACGCAAGTAGTTTTCTTATCTCGGTCCATTGGTTATGTTGATCAATGCGTCCAAAACTGGCTAACCATTCGGTAACATCTTCTGTTTCTGTACCTTTAAATATTTTTGGATGTATTTCTTGAGTAGGCTTCAATGTTAATCTTTCTAATATTTGCTCAAGCGACATATTGTTCTTCTCTTCAGGGGAACGGCTATTTTGTGTTTTCAACGGATTGGTATCGGATAGCTCTAAGGAATCGGCTGAGTCGGAGTTGTTAAGCGAGGTATGAGAATTATTGCCAGCAATCAAACGATGTGTTGGTTCAACTAACGGACATATTTTTCCCGAGCGTAAACGGATCATATATATATATACAGCAAAGTTATTACAGTTTAAAATAATATCTTCGTCCGAATGCAAGTAAAACAAATAATAAAATGAACAAACGTTAATGTTTTCTTACACAGTTTTTAATTGATCGGCCCGAGCAGAGATGGAATCCACTCGTATCCGGGCAGTGCCTCCAAATGTTAACGTACAGTCCTTTTAGTTACTACGCTTTAGATAGTACGCATAAATAAATGTTACGAGTTACTGATAATCCAAACAACACTTCGTATCAACTTGTAACAAATATAAATACTAGTTTCAATTGTCCCGATATATTATATAAAACCGTATAAATATAATACAACTTGTTTTACTATATCTTCTGGTATCTTTTTATCATCTTCGGCTCCTCAACAACTTCAATCGCTTCTTCGACTCTTTCAACCACTTACCTCGGACAACGAACTCAGAACTAAGAACCACAAATCAAGAGCACAAATCAAGAACCCAGTCAAGAACCGGATCAAGAACTGGATCAAGAACTGGATGAAGAACTGGATAAAGAACTGGATGAAGAACTGGATCAAGAACTGGATCAAGTACTGGATGAAGAACTCGATCAAGAAAACTACGAACATTTGTTAACTGACGTTTTTATACGTTTTGTTTAAAGGCTAGACGCGTTTCGGTTCATAAACAAATTGTTTTGGTACGCTAGCGTCTATGCTACACGTCTATATGGTTCAATAAACTTGAATTACTCAAGCGTTCCGCTTGAGTAACCCACCTTTGTAACAACTGTATCTGTCTCTAAAAACCTTTATTCATATAGTTTTTTCCTCCGTCCTTCAACCCATTGGAACTCTCCTCCATATTCATGTTTCCCTGACTCATATAACATACATTTTTTCAAGTCTTCTGTAAACCACTTTCTTGCTTTCTAACACTATTCTTTGTTTTCTAGTAACTCCCAACTTAATAGTGATTGCTTGCAGCCTTATTGGTAGTAAATTAGAATAAAATAAACAAAAAAATTTGCTCCTAAAGTTTTTATTAAACATTAATTGAAAATAAATGAGTACTAACAATATTAAAAAAACTATAAACCTGTAGGGGGTTCTGAAACAAAAACATCAAGAGCAGCACCACTGCATATACCATCGTTTAGTGCATCTAAAAGATCTGCCTCATCAACAATACCTCCTCGTGCAACATTTATTATCTTAACTCCAGGCTTACACATTTTAAACACCTGTTTATTGATGAAACCTACAAAAAAAAAAAAGTTTGGAACATTGTATAAAAAACAAAAACAATTTTCATTAAATTATTCATTTATTTTATCAAAATATATTAGTAACCATGATAATTGACAAAAATAATAACTTTGAACTATTAGTAAAGGTTTTATGAATTTAATACTTGAATTTAATATTTGGTATGGTGTCCTTGAGCTTTCAAACAATTAGTTAGGTGGGTAGGCATAGAATGAATGAGTTTTCTCAAATATTCAGGAGTCATAAGTTGAGTCCATACCTGGCCTGGTAATTCACCGGTCCGGTGAATTACCAGGCCAGAGGCCAATGACCTCAACCCCATTCTCACGTAACCAACTGCTTACAAGCTTGGCCCTGTGACAAGGTGCTCCGTCATGCTGAAACTTGTGGGTATTTGTGATGTTCATGAATAATTTAAGTTTTTCTTGAAGTATATCAAGATAAACATGGCTATTTATTGTGGTGTTAGGAGGCATAAACCATAAACTACTACTTTGATTTGCTGTAATGGCACCCCATATCATAATTTTAAGGCAATGTTTTACAGTCGAAAGCAAATATTTGGTATTGTATCGTTGACAAGGTGGGCGTCTAACGCTTGTTTTCTCGCTAAATATTATATTCTCCCAATCTTCCGCTGACCAGTCCTTGTATTTCTGACAAAAGGCTATACGGTCTCTAATATTTTTTTGAGAAAGGCAAGGCTTTTTTGCTGAAACATGGCTCTTCAAATAAAATTATTTGCACAAACGTCTTCTAATGGTCACAACACTTAGTGTAAGACCTGTGGGGAATACCTTAGATGAAATTTCAGAAGCACTGGCAAACGAATATGCTTTTGCATAACGATGCATGCAATTATCTGCCCTTTGAGTAGTTACCTTTGGTCGTCCAGTTCTAGCTTTGCTTTTAAAATCACCAGTTTCATGATATCTCTTCAATGTTTTTATAATACAGCTATGTGTTACATTAAAACGTGCAGTAATAGAAGTCAGTGTCAATCCTTGTTCACGTAGAATAACAATCTGAGCACATTTTTCGGTTGTTAATTCATTAGTTCTTCCCATAATTATTATTTTAATTTTTTGCTAAAATAACAACAAACTATGACTAAAACAAATTTAAATGTTTATAAGGTTAGATAAAACAACTTTTTTTATGGTACTTAAAGTTTCATGCTGTTTTCGGCACTCATCAGCCATATATTTAAATCAAGAAAAAACCATTAAAAAATACAATTAAAAAACCGTTATAAAATTCAAATAAAATAATGGAATGAGTTTCGACATCAAATAATAATAATAATAATAATAATAATAATAATAATAATAATAGCAACAATAATAATAATAACAATAATAATAATATAGAAAAAAACATCTTTTCTAATCGCCAGTGTCAAATTGAGAAAGGAGGAATCTGTTTCTATGTCTGCACTTAGAAACAATCTCACTCCTTTTATTTAGTAGACGAATTTAGGATTTCATATTTTTTGGTGAGACATAATTTACAAGATTTGGATGCTGGTTTATATGATTTACATCGCCTGAGAATTTTCAACTTTATTATAGGAACTAAATTGGTTTCTTTTATTTTCCATACCTGCATTGAGAGCTCAGTATCATTTTTGTATTTAGGGATGTTAAAAGATTTAATGTGATTAGTGTATCTCAATTTAAAAGAAGTCTCACTTACACCAATGTAGGATTTTTCGTTAGGAGATAAATCACTATTAGTGGTGGTTACAGTTGCTTGGTACACAATGTTGCTTGTTAAACATTTATTGAACAACGGGCAGAGATTTTTATTTAAGCAGTTACAATTTTCTTGATTAGAGTTTGTATCGATGCATAAAGTGTATTTGTTGTGCGAATTTATGATCGATTTTACACTTGGCATACAACTGTAGCTAACTTTGACTGTGTTCCTGTTAAAGATTTTATGCAGTTTGTTATTATTAAGAAAATTTTTGTCAATTAATTTCAAAAAACATTTTCCCACATTGGTGCTAACATTTTTGGTAAATGGAGGATTAAACCAAATTATGTTTGCGTGCTCTGTTCCGTTTTCGAGTTGATATTGCTTTAGGATTATATGTTAGACTACATCTAAAACCAGACTTTAATAAAGCTTCATTATATAGAGGAATAGTATGTTGAAATATTTCTTTGGTAGAAGAATTTGTAGATAATGTAAGTTCAACCAAGTGTGGTATTTGTTTTAGTATACTTGGCAGGTGATTCGAATCAGCATGGATATAATTTTATGTATTATCATTAAATTGTTATTATTATTATTATTGTTGTTATTGCTATTATTGTTATTATTGCTATTATTGCTATTATTATTATATTGCTATTATTGCTATTATATATATATATATATATATATACATACATATATACATATATATACATATATACATATATATATATATATACATATATACATACATATATACATACATATATATATATATATATATATATATATATATATACACATATATATATATATATATATATATATATATATATACACACACATATATATATATATATATATATATATATATATATATATATATATAACAGCAGCCTTGCAATAAAGCGTCTGGCAATGTGAATTTTACGTTGTCCAAGAGCAATTTTATGTGTAGCTAGGGCTATTTGCGTCGAGAAAAAAATTTTTTGTTTGAGTATATTTAAAGATATTTTTGAGCGGAATTTTAATGAAGTAATTTACAATTATTTTAACATTTAATAAAGTATTTTAAAAACCGCACGCAGTTGATATAAAAGTTTGAATTACAAAAAAATTAAATATGCTCATTATTTACAAGTAGAAAAAATTCAGATTTAAAAAAATTTTAAATTTTTTTAAGTTAACATTTAATAAAATTTTTTTGCAATAGCAAAGTTGTCGATAAAACTAAAATACTTTTTTTTAGTTTTAGATTTTTAACTTAAATAATTATTTTACGGGGGTTTGTTAGGCTTTGAAATTATTCCATAAATATAAAAATATTTATTAACTGTTAGACATATTTAAAGTATTTAAGAGTAATTTGGAGGAAACATTTTAAAAATTGATAAGCGCAATTAAAAAAAAAATAAAAGGATTAATATTAAAACGTATTCTACTTGATTCAATAAAAAAGTACAGTTATTAAAATTTTTGTAAAAAGTAACTCAAAAAAAATTACTTAAATAATAACAATCGCTTTTTTGTTAAAAGTTACTGAAACTCTTTTAAAAATCTATTCAAAACGTTCGCTCAAGTTTTTTAATAATACGAGTGATTGTGCTTATCAACCGCTTTATGAAAATAAATAAAAATAAATAAATAAAAAAATATTATATAAAATTGCTGGTAAAAATATTAGCTATTGCACAGTTTTTAATCGTACAATATTAAAATTTTCAGTTTATTACTCGCTGACTTTTTAAAAAGAAAAAATAATTATTTGAAAAACTTAAAATTACATATATGAGAAAAAACAAAAAAAACAAATATTAGCATACTTTATAATCTTTTTTAAATGTTTAGTTATGTTTTTTATTCGTTTAGTATAGACAAAATGTGTCAAACGTCGAGAAAATAAACAAATGTTTTTACATTTTAAAAAACGAAACATTCCAAAACATTTTTAAATAAATAAATAAATAATAACATTTTTAATAAATAATAACATTTCTAAATTAATGATTTAAAGTAGTTTTGTCGTAATTAAGTAAATTGGTGCAGTTAATGTCGATAAATATGAAAAGCAAATAAAAAGAATTTAATGACGCCAAAAATCACGTCGTGCTTATGCGCTGCGCAGTTTTTATTCATCACAAGGCCTGATACAACCCTCAGAATTAACAACAATAAGGTTGACAAAAAATTTTGAAACAGACAAATCGATGAATGGGCAAAGGTTTAGCATAAAATTGACAGAAAATCCAATTTTTTCAGAGTTTGCCAACTTTTCTTTTAAACATCGATGTTTGTTAAGAAATAATTAGTTTTATTTTAATCATTATACTGATATCATACTGATTTTTAATTACCGTACATAATAAATTGTTCTTTTTTGGTTTTTATTTTTTTTTTAAAGGTTCATATTTGGAATTTAAATAGAACATCTGTTTTGCCGCTTTATTTCAAATACTATATTAGAAACTTAAATGTTTGTATTTCCATTTTTATTTTATTTTATCTGGAGTTTAAATAAAAAGTTTATTTTGTTGTTGTATTAATTTGTTCAGAACAAAATAAAACATTTTTTAAAAATTCTTTTATTTAGAATTAAAATTTTATTTTGAAAAAACATTTTTTTTACCGCTTTAATATTTTTTGAAATAGAAAATAAAATTCAGTTTACAATTTTAATAATTTTTATTTACCGCAACTTAAAAAGGTTTGAAATTCATATTACCTCTCAATATTATCAAATTTCAATGGAATATTTGAATAGTGGAAAAATCTTACTCTAATATCTCTTATTGAAGCGCATTGGTTAAAAATCAAAACATCAATCTGAAAAATAAAACACCTCAGAGAGATTTCAGATTACTTTAAGATAAAGTTATTTATAGGGGTCAGAAAGGATAAGAGCTTTTAAAAAAATTTCAAAATAGTTTAAGTACGAAAACAAAACATTTTAACAAGTCAAACCTTTAGTTTGAGGAATTAAAGGAGTATGAACAGTTATAAAGTCAGATTGTCGCCATATTTCTTCTAAAGGTAATGAATGAACTCCAAAAGCCTTTGATTCTTCTTCACTAACCAATGGGTCAAACCCTATTGTCTATAAAATATTAAACTAAATCATGATACTAACCACAAGAAAAAATATGTAACAATAAATATTATAACTATATAATATAATAATAACCGCAATTTACAATTATACTGCCAAATCATATAAAATACAAACTCACTTTACTTAAAAAGCCAAATAATGCTTGATTTTAGAGATCAAATTGTTAAATAAACCCTCAAATAAAGGGCAGTGTGTTGAACAATTTTGACATATCTGTATGCAGATAAAATTATTTCCAGTAATAAAAATTAAACAATAGATTAATTCCAATACATCATAGAACAAAAAAAAAATAGTATTAAAAAAAGATTAATGAACACCATGTTATACTAACAGATATCTTTAACTTCAATTTTCTTGAAAATAATAAAAAAATCCTTTATTTGTAACAACTCACTAGTCTGAAAAGTTTAAACTTAATCTATTTAATCTAGAGCATGTTTGAAATAACACAACAGACTGTAGAGTACAGACTGACTTGAAAAATAAATCAATACTTGCATCTAAATACAAGAATTTTTTCCGTAGAAAAGAGACTAGAATAAGCCAACACTAAAAATATTTGTTAAAGCCAAAGAATTAAGGCCAGAATCAAAAAGTAAACCAAGGAGTTTAATTGATTTAAGTTTTCTGCAAAACTTTTAAATTGTCGACTTTGAAAATGTTAAGATGGAATAGCATATGAGAGCATGCAATAAATAAGATTTGGAGCAAGTATTAAACTAGGTTTGGAGCAAGTATTAAACTAGGTTTGGAGCAAGCATTAAAGTAAATAAAACTGCATAAAAAAAGCAAGATATCAACATTTTAAGGAAATTTAAAATAGTTCTATCAATAAAAGGTAAAGAAGCAACATATCATGATATACACACATACATTACACATAAATATATAAAAACATACTAGGGAGTGAGGCCCCGGCCCTGTTCCCGGCTAAAAATGAGACTTTTTACAAACCCGACCCCAGCCCTGGCAAAATTATAAGATTTAGCAGAGATTGATAGCTGGGGCTAGAAAAAAGTTTATAATACTTTATATATTATAACTTTATGTTTATCTTTACTATTTATAAAATACTGGCATATATTTATACAATTTCAAACTCTAATTTACTTCCAACAAGATTGCAAGCAACCACTATTAAGTTATGAGTTACTTTAAAATAGAGAATAAGTAAAAATACTAGGTAATGGTATATACTGATAATAAACTGAAGACTTGAAACAAACTGAAGTCTTAAAAAGTTGTAGATTGTATATAAAAGAAAAGCATAAAGATGGCTAATAGTTATAGGGTTCTTTTGTTGTGCAAGGAAAAAAACTGGATTAATAAAAGTTTTTATAGCATGAAGGGACAAATACAGTAAAAGGATGCCACTTGTTGAATAAGAAGCCAAGTAAGAGTTTGTTTTGATTTATCATAAAAAAGATAATAGCTCGTTTGTGGTTGAGCATTGACCATGACAGTATTTGTAGAAAGAAAGAAAGGAATGCAACTCTACAACAATGGGAGAGTGGCTCAAGCTTGGCAGATAAAGTAGGTCTAATTATATTTACAATATGCTTTTAGACTTTGTCAGAGAGTAAAAGAGTTATTAATTGTCAATATATAAATGCCAACTGTTATCTATTGCAATATTTGTTTGCAGTAAATAAATGAGCTTTGCTGTCTAACAAAAATTGAGGATTTTAAGTTGAGAATTTAAATCTACAAGCCACTGTAAACCTTAAGCTGTTACAGAAGAGAGATCAGATTAAAAACTGGCTGTTCTAAGCTATTAAAAAATTTTTTTTTTTTGTCAAAACAAAAGTATAAAGTTGAGTTGCAAGCAAATAGAGCCACTTTAGATGTAAAATTTTCATGAAGACTGTTATTGTAGATAAGAAACAATACAGGAGCAAAGATAGAACCGTGTGATGCCCTTAAAGTTACTTAAAATACAGAAGAGTGTAGGCCTTCAAGAATAACTTTAATACAGCAGTTAGAAGAAAATAATAATAATCTCAAAGACTTTATATAAAGAAACTAATAACAGAGATAAGACTAATCGAAGGATAGTTTTTTTGGATAAAGTTTTAAAAAATTGGAACCACTTATTTAGCACTTTTTAAAAGTTTAGCAAAAAGTCAAGAGAGTTCTGGAGAACACTTTTTAAAGACTATGATGGAAATCTTGTCTGGAGCACAAACTGTAGAAGTGTTAAATTGAGAATTAACTTTCATCGGAAGAGTGATTTGGATGTTTCAGAATGCATCGGAATAGTGATTTGGATGTTTGGATGCATCAGAAGAGTGATTTGGATGTTTCAAAATGGGTTAATCTGTTTAACTGTCAGGAAGATATGGTCATTAGATTCAAGAGTCAAATTAGAGTAAGATTTCTTTGTAAACAAGTCTGCCTTATTCTGGGGAAAAGTAAAAAGGTCAGACCCATTAATTAGAGATTAAATGTTAGACTTACTTTAGTTAATGATACTGTTGAAGACTTACCAAAAGTCTCTAGAACCTAACATCTTATATAAGATACAAGATTTAGTAAATTGAGAATAACAGAGCTTAACATTAGACAGGGCATTTTTTATAATGGCATCTTGGAATAATAAAAAGACATTTATTCTCAATAAAATGTTCTTGTAAAAAAGATGAAAAAAATGATTACTTTTTAATAAAGTAACTGCTCAAGATGGTGAAAAATGTGAAGTAGAATGAGGCTTGATTTAAAATTAAAGAGAAGGAATAAAAGCTTCCTAACTTTTATTCCAGAAGGAATAAAAGTTTCCAAGATGCACTTTATGCATAAATATTATGGATATAAACATATATGTTTGCTATTTACTTAGATGCTGGCATACAATATCCTTTCATATTTATATAAACTTTAGTATTTGTATGGTGTAGTATTTGCCAAAAGAGAAGATGATCAGATGGATGTGTGGTGTGACTCTAACAAGACAAGAAAAGAAGGCATAATCTTAGACAGATTAGAAAAAATTTCTTATTGAACAAAATTTGTTAGAAGATTAAAGTGATTTTAATTTTCATGATTTATCATTTGGTATCAGCATGTAGAGAGGTAGCAGCTTCAGGAGAAAATGGTAATGGTAGTGGTAAAAAAACTTGAATAGAGTGCCTTGTATAAATGAGTTTTAGTTAAGGAAAGAAAATGCTCTAGAATGTTTATATAAGAGAAACAGCATAAAAGAGGAATGCTAAAGCCTGATAACAATGGTGATGATGATGATAATGATGATGAACATGATCATGATGATGATGGTGATGATGATCATGTTGATCATAATGATGTTTATATATGCATATATATATAAAAATACAACATGAATTTTGAATAAGAAAAATATACTTTATGTTTAAATGTTTATGCAGCCCCAGTCACAAACGGCTCTGGCTACATTTTATCAAACCAGGCCCCAGCCTTGGTCAAATATCAACCCAAGTTGATATTTGACCAAGCTTAGAACATTTGGCATCATCAGACTTTTAAGTTCAAAGAGAACTTAATTGAAAAAAACAACCATAAAGAACCAAAGAGCATTCTTAATAATAAACCAATTAATATAGATGCTTCTGTCAACCAATACCCATATTTGTCAACAAATAGCCACAAGTGATTTCTACACCAGAAGCACAAAATATCTTTCAAAAATGTCACCAAAAATATATTCTCTATACACAACAATGTGTGTGCATTTTACGTTGCATAGTCATTCATGTGTGTGCATTTTAAGTTGCATAGTCATTCACAAAAATGGAAATGCAAGCATTAATTAACTGAATTAATAAGTTGTTTAATTCATTATCCTAGGCAGAAAATAATGAAAGTTTACACCTGCTTAAATAATGTTGTAATAGACTAAACATGAATTACTTTTAGTTATATTAATATGTGTTATATAATGTATTATATTAATACTAATAGAAATTTTAGTTATCAATCAAGAGGTTTTAGGTGAAATCCAATGTAAGCCTTTAAAAGCACCACACCCAACCTGTTTCTCCATGCTGTGCCCTTGTTTAACAACCTGATGTGGAATTTAGGGTTTTTTAGTTTCAAAACTAAAAAAAAAACTAGTAAAAACTTCAAAACTAGTAAAAAGCAGCAAAACATAGATTAATTAGAATTTGCATTAGACTAGATCAATTAGAATATATTTGACTATAGAAAAAAAAAATTTAATTTGATAAATATAGCTAATAAATATAATCAAATATTATATGAATATATATAATCAAACATTATATACTCCTAGATCTACTTTACAGTTAGATGCGTGAAAATTCTAGTATAAGGACATATTGCAGTTTTTTCCAAAAAAAAATTTTTTTTTTGCGATATATTGACTTCACTTATCTTATAAATACTCTATTGAGCACATTCTATTGATATTAAAATTATCTCAATTCTCCATAGTGATATATAAAAAAAGTGTTACCTTTATATTTTTGCTTTTGCTGATTTAATTCAGTTGCGTCACCTTAATGTTAATCATCATTGTGGAAAGTCAGCAACTGTGAAGGAAAACCTCAACAGATGTTAGTGAAATGAGAGTTTGTAAATGTTAATAAGAAGTTTGCCATACAAATAAAAGTAAAAAAACAAAGTTTTGTGTTTCCCCTTTAGAAAAATTAAAAGTTTTAGAAAAAGGAAAATCTGTATTTTTTAGCTCTGCATTTTATACATACACTGCGTACTAAAAATTTTTAAAATATACTAAATATAGTTAAATAACTCTTAAATTATTGTTTTTAATTAAAAAAATAATAATTTATACATATAAAAACACTTAAAAACTATCAAAAATACAAATCGTCACCATATGGCATTTGTATGCAAATTTGCGGTTTTATGCAATTAACACTCTCAAAAGTGCATTTTCCAAATCTCCCAAAAATATTTTTAGTTTGGTGTAAAAAAAAAAATTTTTTAATTACTTAAACAGATATTTAAAGCTAGGTAAAGTTTTAATGCACAAGTAAAAAGCCATTAAAATTGAGTCAGAAACATTAAGGAATCTACAAACAAAACTTAGTTACTTGACCAGATTAATAAAAATCTTCATCATGAGTAAAGAAATTATTTTTTTAACCTAATGCAATCAATTAATCAAGAGAGGTTTGTAACCATCTTAGAAATTATATGGCATCAAAACAGGTCCTTGATTGTAATGCAAAATGAATAGGAATAACACCTTTTGTCTTAAATGTTAACTTCATCCAACAAGGTAAATTTGAACAAGCAACTTTATGCATTCAAAAAGAACGAATTCAAAAAGAAGCATCACCCTAATCACTTTATGTCAACTTAGTTTAAAACACCTGAATCCCAGTTCCCAACTTTTAAAAAGAAAGGTTATGTAAGTTACTAGAAAGGCAAGTTTGATGAGGCTCCTACATTAATTAGAAATATGGCTAAGCAAAGCCTTCAAAAGAAAAAAATTCCTGACCTGATAACTATTACAAAAATTCTAACCTTTAAAAAAAAATTTACTCGTGCTCCTAATTCATAAGTAATAGAAAAACAAAATTTAGCTAACTTATTCTTAGATACCGCTTCTACGCTTCAGATACCGCTTCTACGCTTCAGATACCGCTTCTATGCTTCAGATACCACTTCTAGGCTAATACAAAACAAAAACAAACATGACTTTTTTGAATAAACTTTTCACTTTAGCTCAAACTAAATGAGCTTTTAGTGCAAAGAACTGAGCAATTAACTGAGTTTTTAGAGTGAATAAATGAGCATTTAGCTAATAAAAAAATTTTTAAACTACTTTAAAGGGATCCCAAACCTCCAAGACATGTTGTGTTCATATTAAAGAGAATCATATATATATATATATATATATATATATATATATATATATATATAATATATATATATATATATATATATATATATATATATATATATATACATTTATATATACACACACACATATATATATTAATACATACATACATACATACATACATACATACATACATACATACATACATACATACATACATACATACATACATACATACATACATACATACATACATACATACATACATACATACATACATACATACATACATACATACATACATACATACATACATACATACATACATACATATATATATATATATATATATATATATATATATATATATATATATATATATATATATATATATATATATATAAAGCAAGATAATGATTAACAGACGACTTAATAGTTTGCAAACTATATGAATCAGGAGAACAAAAAGGGATTGAATTCTGAAGACATGATGTTCAAGGAAAAAAAACTAGATGAATAAGAATTTTTGGAACACTTAGAAACAGTCACAGTAAAAGAATAAAACTTAATTGAATGACCAGTAACATGAGAATGAATTTTAGTAAATGTCACAAGAGACACTAGCTCTTTAGAAGAGCGCTGATTTAAGTATTTATAGAAAAAAAGAAAATCCTAAGACTGCCAAAGTCTTAGGATTCAGCCAATCAAAGTTACCATAACATGATCTAGAATGTTTCGTGGCTCCTGAACTAAACCATTTTTTTATTTTAACAGGTGTTCTGCACAATATACTTATTATACAAATATTTAAAAATAGTTAACGCTGTCTTTTTTATTAAAATCAATTTACATATTTAGGGGAAGTGGGGACATAACTGCATATGGAGGCAAGAGTATTTTTTAACATTTCCTTATGAAAAATATTATCTATAATGGCAACAAACATACCGTGCTTTAGTAAACCAGTTACCCTTATTTTGTTTATGTCAAAAAGAGTGCCTGTTGTGCTTCTGAGAAGTTGTGCATAATGTTTTACTTTGATAAAAATATTATATTTACATCATACTTTTCCAGACTTTTTTTACAAGGGTTAAGCAACATTTGATTTTAGTGTTAAACATATGTGTTATCAGCGTAGTTTCATCAAGTGAAAACCATTTTTGATATCAACGTAACATAATAAGCAAGCTATGAAACTGTATTCCTTCTAAAAACTGTTGTTTGGGGCAGAACCCTATAGTTGCACAGGAGGCACAACCGCATACTTTTGATATTCATCAAAGCTAGATAATTATGAATGACAATGATTACAATCTTCCCACTTGAATGGTTTATGTAAAAACTTAAATAAAAACAGTTTTGTTTTAGTTTGAAAAATAGATTTCGCATTTTTTTTATTTTTGAATAAAGTATAAAGCTAAGAGTAATGTATATTTATATTTTTTATATTTATGTATATCTGAAGATTGTTATGGTGATTATTATTTCACTGCAAGTGAATTATTATTTATATGGTGATCATTAGTTCACTGCGAGATGTATTCCTGATATCTTGCTCTGAGCCAGAAACATTGTCCTTGAAATCTGTGGCATCTTTCACAATTGCTACATCCGAAAAAATTGTAAGTATTCCAAATGAGAAAACTAAGCAACCTTGAAAACAATACCAAAAGGGCAAAATAGCTATACTCACCAGTTCACCATATAAAGCAAAACTAGAAAAGCAGATGGTTCTAAAAACTTAAAAAAAAAAACAATTGCTAAGACTGCAGAAACAAAAAATGCTACAAAAATTTTGAATGAGAAAACTCAGACTAGTACAAAGTACAAAGTACAAAGAACATTTACACAATATGAAAACGTGCAACAAAGTCAGTAAATAACCTGAGCTGTGACAATTAGATAAATTAGACAATTAGTAGAAAAATTTACCACCAAAAGTCTACCCCAAACAATTATTGTGAGGGTGCGATTTTGCCTTACACTGGGGGCACAACTGTTTTTTTGACTAAGTGTTAACTTTGTGCAATAACACTTTCAAAAATTGTTTTATTTTTTTCTTAATTGCAGCAATTTAAAGCTTAATAATGTGGTTATTGAAATAAACTTTTAAAAAAACACATTTTGCTTTTATTTTCATATAACAATCCAAGAGTTACAAGGGCGGTTATGCCCTCACTTACCCTATAAATATATCCTATAACAAGAATATGACTTTTAAAGATTATATATATATATATATATATATATATATATATATATATATATATATATATATATATATATATATATATATACCTTCATTCCAAAAGATTGCATTCTCAGAGCAACTTCTCGACCAATTCTTCCAAGTCCAATGATAGCTAGTGTCTTTCCCATCAACTCACAGCCCATAAACTAAAATAAATTGGAATTTACAAAATAAGCTATACACAAAGCTATATGCAATATTGGGATTGGGTAATAAGTGAGTTATAGCTCACATGAGCATACAAAAGTATTTGTAGAAAAAAGGAAGAAATACAACAAAATGCAATGACTGTGGAACACAAGCTCAAGCTTATACAACGCTAAATTTATTTAAAAAATAGAAGTATGAGATTATTTGCTCTTTTAGAATTTTCATTGAACTTGAAGCTTTTTTTTTATTTTTAGTTTATATATAAGAATGGCAACACTCTTAAAGAGTGTTGCCATTCACTTAAAAAGTGAATGGCAACACTCATGTTGCTATTCATGAATATAGAAATATTAAATAGGAATAACAATATTGCAATAATTATTATCAGTAAACATCTAAGTTTAGTTAAAATTTTATCACCCACTGATGGCTTCAAGTTGTAATAAAAGAATAATCACATTAAAAATTAGATGTCGGTTTTAAGCTAAAATGATTAAATAACTTTAAAAACATCCCAAAATTTTATGATATGAAAAGATACAGAGAATACCAGCATGCTAAACTTTAGATGTGCCTTAGAAGGACCAAAATCTGTAATGATTTTCAGGGAGTAAGTTGTTAGACACTAGATAATTTTTTTTTTTTATTAATGAAACCACAGATGTCATTTTTCAGCAGACAGGAAAAGAAGATTTAGTGAAGCATATGTATATAGTTTAGAAAGTGTTGAAGAAAGTTCTGGAGATTTTATAAGATTGTGATAGGAATATTAACAGAAGCTGTAGTTAAGAAAAAACTTAAACTCAATAACTTGATATCTAACAACCTGTTTTTCTGGGATGTCAAAATGAATGGGATGTCATTAAATTCATAAGTATAACAACAAGAAAAGTTTTTTGTAATGAGCTTTTTTTTATAAAAGAGATAAAAAGATAATACAGGTTAATGTATAAGAGATAGATATGTTTATGTTAATGCATAAGAGATAGATATGTTTATGTTAATGTATAAGAGATAGATATGTTTATGTTAATGTATAAGAGATAGATATGTTTATGTTAATGTATAAGAGATAGATATGTTTATGTTAATGTATAAGAGATAGATATGTTTATGTTAATGTATAAGAGATAGATATGTTTATGTTAATGCATAAGAGATAGATATGTTTATGTTAATGTATAAGAGATAGATATGTTTATGTTAATGTATAAGAGATAGATATGTTTATGTTAATGTATAAGAGATAGATGTTTATGTTAATGTATAAGAGATAGATATGTTTATGTTAATGTATAAGAGATAGATATGTTTATGTTAATGCATAAGAGATAGATATGTTTATGTTAATGTATAAGAGATAGATATGTTTATGTTAATGTATAAGAGATAAATATGTTAATGTATAAGAGATAGAATGTTAATGTATAAGAGATAAATATGTTAATGTATAAGAGATAGAATGTTAATGTATAAGAGATAAATATGTTAATGTATAAGAGATAGATATGTTAATGTATAAGAGATAGAATGTTAATGTATAAGAGATAGAATGTTAATGTATAAGAGATAAATATGTTAATGTATAAGAGATAGAATGTTAATGTATAAGAGATAAATATGTTAATGTATAAGAGATAGAATGTTAATGTATAAGAGATAAATATGTTAATGTATAAGAGATAGATATGTTAATGTATAAGAGATAGAATGTTAATGTATAAGAGATAGAATGTTAATGTATAAGAGATAAATATGTTAATGTATAAGAGATAAATATGTTAATGTATAAGAGATAGAATGTTAATGTATAAGAGATAAATATGTTAATGTATAAGAGATAGAATGTTAATGTATAAGAGATAAATATGTTAATGTATAAGAGATAGATATGTTAATGTATAAGAGATAGAATGTTAATGTATAAGAGATAAATATGTTAATGTATAAGAGATAAATATGTTAATGTATAAGAGATAAATATGTTAATGTATAAGAGATAAATATGTTAATGTATAAGAGAATGTTCGACTTTCTTAATGATACTTTTAAAGATTTAATACTATTTATAAAACCTCGGAGATAAAATGCAAGATTTAGTATATTGTAAGTATTGGACCCTAACATTAAACAATACCTTTCAGTATCAAATTCTTGTATTAGGTCTTAAGAGAGTTAATAGCACTGCGTATACCACAGTGCCATTGGGCTGGCTAATTTCCTGATAACAACAGGCCTTGCAATTACTCAACCGAACGGTAATACTGTAGGCACTATTTTTAAAAACACTATTTTTTTCTGGAAAAAAAAAAAACTCAAAATAAATATCATATTAATTTTTCTCTCAATTAAAAAAACAAACTTTTTCTTTATTCTAATTTCAGCTTCAATACTTTTGTGCAGGTTCTTTCTTAGAACGCGGAGTAGCCAATTTTGTATAGTTATTTAAAAGTATATTAGATAAGATTCTACAACAAATGTTTATTTTTGGAAGAGCATGATAAAAATAAATTTGATTAATCAAATTAAAATATTCAGATACTGATTTTTGATAAAACATAACAAAAAAATCTAGTTTTATAATTAAAATATAACAGAAAAATACCCACTTATGCAGAGTATCACCAGGAAGTGTTAAACCTCCCCTATTTAATTTTTTCAAGTAATTGCCATACAATTCAAAATAAATAAAAGTATCTACATTATTATTCATTTCGGTTTTGTGAGCAATTTATCCAGCAATATAAACACACACCCTTTTGCTGTCTTTTTTCATAAACTCTTTTAAGTCATTCAGCATGTCAAAAATGTTACTCATGTGAAAAATCTCTTCTTCAGTTAGCTGTCAAAGATATCCATCACAAACAAATGATGCTCTGAGCAGTCATAAGTCTGCATCTAATCTTAGAAGTAATAAAGGTGAATATGAATTTTCATGGTGACATTAAGAGGTTCAAGTCTATTGAACTTCTTATAGTGAGATATCACATCTGCTGTTGTCAAAGTTAAAATATTTCTTCTATTTTTACCATTTTTTGCATATTTCTGCTATTTTTGATAAATGTTGTATAAGATCATCTTTAGCACTTCAAATGACAGCTCGCAAAGGATCTTGCAACCAAACATCATTAGACATTCTTCATACATTTTTAACTTTGCATGCATCAATAAAAATTTGCAGAAAAGCAACAGTGCCTTTAACTTGCTCCTGATTTATAACTGGGTTTGTTCTCAAAGCTGTCAGGGTTTCTTCACAAAAAACATGCATTACTAGTTTTCCCATTATGCCTTTTTACAGGCTTTGGAGATGGGTAACTCATTTAGACGAGATAATAGTAGAACATTCACAACATTGCAATAGTAGAATAAACTGGGAGAATCTTAAAACGCTTAATGTTATTTCAAACAAATAAACAAGAAAAATTTGTGAGGCCATTGAAATACAATGTGTGCAATTTTCAAAATCTAATGAAAATGTTTTAAATCATGACAATAGCAACTTGGTGATGACTCACCATTAAAAACCACTTTTTGCAAAATTAAAAAAATGTTGAATATTTTATTGAAAATTTATTAAGACGTTGCAATGACATCATTTTGTTACGTTCATTTAATTTTTTTAAACGCTTTTTTAACGATTTTATTAGTTTGATAATGGCTCTTGCTACATGAGCCAAAATATCACATAAAAAAAGAAATAAATAGTATAATTTCGTATATGATGTTTTGATGCTTATTAAATTACACATACATATATATTATATTACACATACTATTAAAGATGTCACTTAATATATATATATATATATATATATATATATATATATATATATATATATATATATATATATATATATATATATATATATATATATATATATATATATATAATATATATATATATATATATATATATATATATATATATATATATATATATATATATATATATATATATATATATATATATATATATATATATATATATATATATAGGCCTTGTTTTAAAGCGTTAAGCTGCTGGCAATTTACGTACATATTATGTACGCCTAGAGCAATTTCCATTAAGCAAAAAAAAAAATTAAAAACTACAAAAACTTAATCTCTATTAAGCTAATTATTTTATTGAAATATTTAGTAACAGTAAACAAAATTGTTTATAGTTAATGACAATAATTTTTTTTATAGGGGAAAGTAAAAAACGTAAAAGAAATATATATAATAACAACTTTTATTTATCATCTTGCAAGCACAAGAATATTTATGCAACTTATGATTGTAATAAAAAAAATTTACTTATATTTCTAAAAATAAATAAATTATAAATAATTTATAATTAATTTTTTTTTTTTATTGTAATGATTGATTTTTTGCTAGAAAAACGCTAATACTTTAGGCCTGAAGCAAAGATCATTATAATATAATTTAATTCTGATAAAAAATATATGATTTAATTTAAAACTAATTAAATAAAAATATATAATTTTATTCTGAAAAAAATATATACAGTATGGGGCAAAAAAAACCAGCCAAGATTTGTTTGCAGAAAAATTAACATTTTATGTGTTTTAAAAGCATTTCTCTGATATTTAAACCAACATCTCAACTTTTTGCATATTTCTTGTTTATTTAAATATCTTATATCTCATTTCTTATATTAAAAAAGAGTTTCATATTGAGTATAAGTTAACTTTTTTCTTCTTTTCTCAACAATTTCTTATTTGGGCTCTTATTTGTCATAGTTATCGTTTACATGAGTGTAAAAATTTAGATTCTCATTGGGCTATCAAAAAACCTCATTTATCAAAGATCAACATTGCACGTAGGCTTTAATGGTGCAGTGAGCATAAAGACTGGACTATTACCCAATAGAGACAAGTTATTTGGTCAGATGAGTCTCCTTTTAGTTTTAAATGCAATCAAAGATTTCATGTTTGGAGATGTAGTAATGAAAAGTATCACCATGAATGTATAAAAACCACAGTTAAGCATCAAAAAAAAGATTAACTGTATGGGGATGCTTTGCCGCACATGCTACAGAAAGGATTCATAAGATTAAAGGCAATATGGATCAATACCAGTACCATATTATCCTTGTTCATAATGCAAAGTCAAGTTGCTTGGAATTATTTCCAGATGGTAACTATGGTAACTATCTATTTCAACAAGATAATGATCCTAAGCATACTGCAAAATATAACAAAGCATATATATGCGCTCGAAATAATTTTTCAAAGCTTGCCAAAAAATTACATGATCACATGTAATTTTTTTTACAAAAACAGGTTATTTTTCCTTGGATTTTTCGAAATTACCCTAAAATTAGCCGATCATTGATCGCTGATCGGCCGTTATTTCGAGCGTTGATATATTGAAAAAAATATGCTCTGAAATGGTGGCCTAGGCAATCTCCCAACCTAAATCCATTTGACAACCTATCGTCCATACTCAAAGATAAAATTAAAAAAAGAATGTGTAATGATGAAGTTTGTCTTTTTAATTGCGTAAAAGAGGCATGGAATAGCTTAGAACCATGTTCATGGAATAGCTTAGAAAAATGTCATTAAGCATTTTTTATTTAAAACAAGGCCTGTATATATATATATATATATATATATATATATATATATATATATATATATATATATATATATATATATATATATATATATATATATATATACATGTATATATATATATATATATATATATATATATATATATATATACATATATATATATATATACATATATATATACATATATATATATGTATATATATATACATATATACGTATATATATATACATATATATATATATATATATACATATATATATATATATATATATATATATATATATATATACATATATATATATATATATATATATATATATATATATATATATATATATATATATATATATATATATATATATATACATAAGGTTATAACATCTGTAGTTAATGTATTTATATATATAAGGTTATAACAATCTGTAGTTAATGTATTTCTGTTATAACATATATATATATATATATATATATATATATATATATATATATATATATATATATATATATATATATATATATATATATATATATATACATATATATATATATAAGGTTATAACAGAAATACATTAACTACAGATTATTCAAAAATATTTTGTTGATTCATTATAATTAACCATAACTAATACAAAAAATTGTAATATTTTTAGTTAATTATATTAGTTCATTATATTATTATTAGATAATTAAAACAATATTAGTTGTATTAATAATTTTAAAATATAAAAATATAATCAAGGAGAAGAGTCTTACTTTAGAACCTTCCCATTTTTCTTGCAACAAAGATAAATACCCTTGGCCAATATTTCTATAAATATAGTTTAATCAAAACCTTTTTTATAATCTAAAAACTTGTACTGTCTCAGGGCTCAAAATATCGAACATTTTCTATAAAAATAAGGAACATTTACCATAAAATCTTTCATGAAATAATTTGTTTACTTTATTATAAGGATATTTTATTATAAGGATATACAATTTCTAACACAGCATAAGAAAATGAATTCAAACAGATAAAAACAAATGTCAACTGGTTTTATTGGTTAAACTAAACAAGTATCAGATTATAGAAAACAAATAATTTGCCAAAGAAAAAAAAAGCCAAACAGAATAAACAAAAAATCCTTATTAAAAAACATATTATGCTTACATAATACATTTATATTCTTGCTTATACGCAATTATACATGCTATACTTATATTTACATGCAATGCTTACATACTTGAATAAAATTTTTATTTCTGTATGGTTAGCATGACTTTAACATTACCAATAGATATTTTTTATTTGTGAGTTTTTTCATAAAAAAGAAATACACCAAATTTGTTTAATTTTCTATTCTATCACCAAAAAGTTTTTGTCTGACAAAAAATTGTAAAAATCTATAAAATTTGCTAAATCTTATGATTTCAATTTTTTAATAACTTTTTACATAAAATTTATATATAGTTAATTTGTGCATCATTTTTTTTTACCATACCAAGAACATTCTAAAATAGAGATTCCAGGCTTTTTTTTTAGAAATAAAAAGCACTGGTTAAAAATAATTTGCACATAAAATAAATAGGTTGGATAAAATGTCAAGTAGTTTATAGTTTTCACCAGAAAACTGTTGGGCAATTTCTATCAGATATTTGGAGCCTTCCTATACATTATTTAATAAAATACAATATTGAAACTTATTTATAATATCGATAAATAAGTACCTTGCAAGTGAAGAAATAAGAGTACAGGTTAATTCCGCTGCACTTATAGTATTGCCATCAGGTGTGCTGCACGTAAAAAACAACATTTTTAAAAAAGAATTCAAATAAAATTCTGAATAAAAAATATAAAAAAATTTGTGGATTTTTTATTATTATTATCATCTTATCAACATTTTAAGTGTCTTATTAACAATTTAATCAACTTATTTTTAAAAAATTAATAGAAAATTAGCAAACAACAAGAATATTCATACTTCATGACTAACACACCATGACTTGAGGCACTTGAAATGTCAATATTATCAACACCAGTTCCAGCTCGTCCAACTAATTTCAATTTTGTGGTAAACTGAAAAACATCAGCTGTTACTTTTGTAGCTGATCGAACAATTAAAGCATCATAATCCTATAAAATTAGATAAAATTCAAAGAACCCTTTTTCAAAAAAATAATAATTTTTATTTAAATAATTCATGAACGTGACAAATTTATATGCACATATAAACATGGATACCTTATAATATTAAATATAACATACTGCAATTATTGCTTTTAATTGTTCATTATTAATTCCAGGTTTGTAATCCACTTCAATTCCATTAGCTTCGAGTAAGTTTTGGCAACTAACATCCACTTTATCACTTATTAAAACTTTTTTAATATTCATACTACTCTTTAAACATATATCTAAACATATGCATATATATATATATACATATATATATATATATATATACATATATATATATATATATATATATATATATATATATATATATATATATATATATATATATATATATATATATATATATATATATAAAATGCCTTTACTAACTTCCATACCAATGTGGTTTAGAAATTGGGTTTCAGAATGCATACTTAAATCTGACATTATGGAAGACCGCAAAAAGTTCAAAAACTTGAATTAACTGATAGACTACCCAAACCAAAATATTCAGTTGATGTAGCAGCACTCCTGGCATGTTCTACCTATTTGTCAGATGATATAGCAGCACTCCTTGCATTTCTACTTATTTTTCAGTCAATGTAATAAAAATAAAAAACATTCTGAATGTTTTAATTTTTTTTGAAAAAATAAAAAACATGGTTTGTAGTTTTTTCAAAAAACAAAAACATCAACAAAAAAGAAACATATCAGCAGATCATAGTTATTACAAGTTAGCAAAGCTGAATTTAGTAAAATTTCTGATTATATGCTTAATATTGATTGGGTGAAATTATATGAAACAAAGTCTGTGCGGGAAATGTACAACAAGTGCATGTCCTGCACAGACTTTAAAAAAAAATGCCTCAGTTGTATAGTTAATCAACTTAACAACTGAGGCATTTAACTTATTTATTCCAACTATAGACACTTTACTTACTCAAAGTTCAATAGTTTGGATTAACAATGATATCAAGCAATTAATAAAGAGGAAAAAAAAGTTTAAGATACAGAAATTGTGCTCATAAATGAAAGGATGTTAATTTGACTAAAGAATATAAGCTGCTATGTAATTTAGTTACAACAGAAATATATAATGCTCAACTTTTATTTGAAAAGAAACTAGCATATAACACTCAAAATAATCCAGCTTTGAGTTAGTTCTATCAAAACTTAAATGATTAAAAGAAAATAAATCACCTGGAACTGACAAACTTTGTCGCAAACATAACACTAATCTATAAAAAAGGTGACAAAACTATTGCCAGCAACTATCGCCCTATCTCCTTAACATCCGTTCCCTGCAAATTATTAGAATCTATAATAAGAGAAAAAATAAACATTTTTTTTACAAAAACAAGTCACTGACAACCCAACAATTGTTTTTGGACTCTTGATGTAAATTCTAATGGTTAATGATCTACCAGACAAGTTAGTCAATATATGCAAATTATTTGCTGATGATACCAAGATTCTATCCAAGGATATCTCAGAGAAAAGTACCTCAAGTCTATAGACTTGAACTAATTTAATTGTAGCATTTAAATGGACAGAAGACTGGCTTTTAATATTTAATGTCTAAAAATGTGGAATAATGCACTACAGGTATATGTACTGCAAAAACTAACGCACCCCAAAAACCACACGGACACATGTAGCCATGCCTATTTAAACATAATAAGTATAAGAATGCAATTTTTTTGTATTTGAATGTTTCAGCTAATGAGCCAAAAAACATTGATTTTTATAGCATAAAGTAATTTTTTTAAACCTTTTTTAAGATTTTCTCTGGTTTTTTAAAGCAATATTTTCAGTAATAATACTATAAAACACGCAACTGTCAGACAGTTTGTGAAGTTGACTTTTTATTAAGCTCTTGAATGTCCTTTTCAATAATCAAATATTTAAATCTATTATAAGTATTATGTTTGATAATATTGAGCAAAGTTTAACTTAGTAGTGATGTGGTTTTTGGGGTGCATTTAGCAAATAAAAATGAAAGTCTAATAACACAACTAGAATTATGTTTATTATAATGTGAAATTATAAATTAGGCATTATATTTTAGAAGAATGTTTTAGTTTTTTTTTTAATTATTTACCTCCCCAAGGCCCGAGGGGGCCACTACAGTCGAGGAGGCTACTTATTTATTTTTTTTTTTTTTTTTAATACATAAACTCAATAATCATAAATCTTTCATTGCTCTCTGAATCATTATCTGCATTGAATAAGCTATCACTATCTGCATTGAATAAGCTATCACTGTCTGCATTGAATAAGCTATTTTTTCAATTTGTTACTGTTCTTTGCAAAGCTGCAGCAGGAAAAGTCATTGTAAGTTATTTTCCATCAACACGGCATGCTAACTTGCTGCATTGGGATTTCAAAATATTGTGGGATTTTGGGCATTCCCTCAACTTTTTTAATCTACAAATGCTTTCAGTATGCACATTTGTCTTTACATTTAATAGACTTTTTTTCTTGTTTTTTTTTTCCGACATTTTGCACTTGTTTTTGAACTTTTTGTTCCTTCTTTTCATTTATGTCTTCAACTAAACTCAAAACACCTTTAGATTCATGGACCCATGCACTTGAGTTATTCGTGATGAATTAGTTGATAGATTTAGCTTTACTTTTTTAATGGTCATAAAACCTGGTATCTCCTCTGATTGAATGCTCTTCTCATGCAACTCTTTGATCAAAGTTTGAGTACTTTTAAATTTTTCTTTACAATACAATGCTGATCCTTTTCTTTTATCAGGAGATCTTTTTGTTTAACTGGTCTAATAACTGTGTAACCCCTGTTGTATCTGGAAAAGAAAGAAACATTGGACTGTTTCCATCTGATAATAGGACTACAAATCTTTTAATATTGTTCTATTTCAAATACTCATCAAATTCTTTAACAGCAGCTAAAAGTGATGGCCATCTGATACACCATGTTCTGAAGTGGTTACTTGCAGATGTTTTATGTTAGCTATTGCTTTATTTGGTAGCACCAGGCTTGTTATACCAACATTGCCAAATATTACTTAAAACATACAGAACTCTCCTGGAATTGTAAGATATAATTTTATTAGTGATATTATTTCAGTTTAAGTTAGTTTAAAAAATTACTGAGCAAAACAGTTTTATTACTTTATTTTTAAATATATAGAGAAATTAAGTTAAATTAAGTCTCGATTAAAAGAGATTTTTTTTAAAAAATGTAGATTATAAAAAAAAACCCTGTTTTACAGCTGGCTATGATGGAGCAAGACAGACAATTTTGTAAATATAGAATACTAAAATAAAAGCAAACCTGAGAATGACACGAAGAGATGAATGTTATCACATTCTCTGTTGTTGTTTTTTTTCACATTTTTTTAGATTGATCTCCTTTCGCAGCATAGATTAAACCAGAAGAAGTTTCATCAATACCATAATGAGTGAATTGAGGAGTTTCACCATTATTAAAAATTATTTTGGTGTCAACATTTCTTTTCTGAATCCCTTCCTCAATTCGCTCTGCTTCTGTCATAATTCCAGCTGCAATAAATTCCTCTTCTAGTGCATCTACAATATAATTGATTAAATCAGTTATACCTATTTGCACTTTAAAAGGAGGGAAAGAGCTTTAAAGGGAAACACATTATTATAATACAACAAGTTAGATAAATACTAGAATAAATCAAAAACTTCATATAATCAATTTTGTTTATAACAAAGAATAAGCGTAGAACAATTAAATTAAGAGTGGATCATAAGTAGGCACCTTGCTTCAAAATAATCTCATTTAAATTTGTTTTTAGTTTTTCCAGTTGCCGTTGCATATGATCATGAGAATGTGACCTTAAGTTTGTCTGCATGACTTCTTGAACCTCTTCCTTTGTCTAAAAATCCAAATCCTTGCAATAAAATTCAAATGAAGAGAAAGCATATCTGTCCAACAAGTTAAAGTCGGAGGTTCGACTATATGGAGGTTGAATGACACGAGTGACTTTTTTCTCAGCAAGAAAGTCTCTGGCTGCATCAGACCTGGCATTATCGTGTTGAAGGAGCATTGTGTTCCTTTTTTTGAGCCTTTTTGACAAAACAAAAATGCATATTCGATAGGAAAACCATGTACACTTCTGAATTGACCAACTCTCCATTTGGAAGTACCTCAACATAGGCATCAAATTGGTATCTTCTGACACGTTTTGGCACTTCTTTACCCTTTGAAACCGAAACGTGATTGCTACGTTTGCACCCGATTGATCTGTGGTAAACCAACATCTCATCCACAACAATAAGACGTTGTTCGACATTCAATTCATCTCGTAGGATGGTCAGAAATTTATGCGCAAATTCAACCCGATATTGTTGATTTGCTGGGGTATATGTGCTCCATTGTGAACAAGTTGATCTTTTCATCAACTTTTTGGTGATTATTGAACAAACTGAACCAAAAGAAATTTGCTCTATTGTTAAAATTTATCTTCATCAGGCAGTTGTTGAATGATCTCAATGTTGTCCATAGTTGTTGAGGAACTGGGTCTACCTGACTTCGATTCATCTGAAAACTGACTATAATCACTTATGTTTTATATAGAATACTTTTGCTAGTACTTGTATACTGTTTGAATGGAAGTTGTATCCTCATCCCAGGCAGTAGTTATGAATTTGTGAGCATCAGATGGAGGCTTCTGATTACAATGAAAAGTCTCAACTAACAATCTAATACCAACTTTGCCAATTTGCATTATAGCTTTAATAATTCAAATGATCTGAAATTAAAAACATTTATTTTATTAAGCATATTTGTACATAAGTTAATGTTAAGAATATCTATAAAAAATTTTATTGGCAAGAATATTAAACCACAAATTATACAATCTTTTTGATAATACTAATATGTATTCTCCAGAAATATGAAACATAACATTTTTTCAATAACAAACAAACCTTAGCGAAAAAATGTTGAAATTATTGAAAAAATGTTGTTTCATGTTTCTGGAGAATACATATAAGTATTATCAAAAAGATTTTATAATTTGTGGTTTAATATTCTTGCCAATAAAATTTTTTATAGATGTTCTTAACATTAACTTATGTACAAATATGCTTAATAAAATAATTTTTATTATTTTTTGCTTTCTTGCTACTACTGCCTCCGCTTCACAATTTGGATCAAGAGACCTTGTTCCAAAACGTAAGGTAAAATTTGTTGTCATTTTTTGAATATTTTTAATATTTATTTCTGTATAACAAATAAAAATATGTTTACAAGTTACTACAA